TAACCCTAACTAACTACACGGGTTAACCTAATATAAATCGGCTGGGAGGTGCAACTAAATGCGCTGAATAATATACTAAAATTTAGTGCAATTCCGGCTGCGGGATATAAATAGAACCTGCCTCTAAAAAATAAATAGAATAAGCCCTATGCCTAAATCTACGCCCTGGTTTAGTATTTTCTATTCTTAACAAATAAATAGAATAAGGGCTGGTTCTATTTACCGCCGTAGGATAGAATTCTATTTCTTAGGTAATAGAACTATATTTTTTCCCCTTTTATTTTTAGTAATGTTTTCGGTTTCTTCTATTGCTTTGTATTTTTTTTCTCCTTACTTTTTATCCTTCTTTTTATCTTCTTCTTCTTTATCCTCTTTTTTGTTTTTTTTATCTTCTACGCTTACTATATTATTAATTTAAACCCGCCTCCGCTTCCTCTATAGTATTATCTAACCTTTTTCGGGCTCGGGCTTCTATATAAATAGACTAATCTCTGCTGGTTAACCGCCCTATATATTTTCTAACCTCTACTAAAATAGTAATACTAACTATAAATAATATACTACTAATTTACCCACCGTGCGTGGTAAATATTAGTAGATAACTTTAGCCTTTCCACTAACTTCTATACCTTTATAGTATGCCGTTATATATACTACTAACCTGTTCTTAATAAAAATCCCCCTACTATTACTATTCGGGCTGTTTTAATACTATACTGTTATTAACTCTATTCTATACGCTGGCAACCTACTTATTATATATACTAACGCTGCTAAATACTGCTAGAATACTTATATCGCTTATATATACTTTTTAATCTCCTTCCTCTTCTATACTAACCCTTGCTTACCTTTTGCTACTATAGCGGCTGCTGGGTTACTAGCTCTAATATTAATAAACCTCTTCCTAATCTTCTACTCCTAGCTAACCTAATTACTTAACCACCTCTTTCTATACACGCCCCTAAATCCTAACTCTTAATTTCGCGGGTTTTTAATAAAACTCTATCCTAACTATTGCTCGGCTGGGTTATTTACTAAATGCGCCCAATTAATAGCTGGCAATATAACAGGTTCCTGTCTACTTAACAGCTTCTGTACAACTTAATTAACCTTTTCTAGTAATAATAAATCCCGGTGCAACTCGACCCGGGCTATCTCTACTAACCTATAGACTATTAAACGCAACTAGGGTATACTAAATTAAATATTACTATATAATAACGTATTATCTATCTACTTAATTACGTTCTTAGTATTAGTAGTATACCGGATCTTTATTCTATACGCTTTTAACCGCTATAACTAATCTATAGGATGTAGTATTCTGCTATATTAAACTAATATTATAAACCGGTCTGCTATCTCTTGCATAAATTTAAAATGCGCCGGCGCTATTTCCTTAGCATTTTTCTAGCTAAAAT